AACAAAGAAAAAGAATGACATAATGAAGTATAGAAAAAACATGGTCATCTGTGTTTTCATTAACTCTACTTCAGTGTTCTTAGGACGAACCTGTTACAAGCTATGGCGGTCATTGCTGTTTCCTCATCCGTCGCGAGAAAGACAAACAAATCGTTGTTGCTAATCGGTTAGAAAAGTGAGATTTTACTGCGTCTGGATTGTAATGAAAAACCAAGAAAAACTCCTATATTTCAACATTAGAAAATAATTGTCCTACACCAAGATTGTCTGATTGTTTTCTTTGTTTAACGTCATATCAACATCCTTATGGGTCATTTAATGTCGAAATTTAATTTTCTTGGGAGCTCTGAAATAGTAAAAATATGATATATGTTATTCTGCTTTCACAGTTGAATACATGGTAGATGATACTCAGCTTTTGTCCATATACATGTTTGTGTGGACATAATTATTAGAGGTGGTGATATGTGTGTTTTATTTTGTAGTTTTCTTGAAGTTATATTTTGAAATCTAGCTTGATTTCTTTAAGAAATTGTAGGATATTATACGGATTAATGACATGAAAGCGTTCTTTCATGTTGATTGGTTGTTTGGTTGATTTCGTTTAACGGCATATCCATCACTATTGGTTATTTAATGCCAAAATCTAAATATTTTGAACACTATTTTATGTTTTCAGCTAAATAATTTGAACGCAATTGCATGTATACAACTACAGATAAAATGCATTGTTAATAATTCTACAATAGAATGAATTGCTCGTCATTTTACTACAAATATGTATTGTTGGCAATTTTTTCATATAAAAATGTATTGCTGGTTTTTTTATTATAAATATGTATTGTTATACTTATATAGTGTTTTGTTTTGGGGTTCATGGACCTGGGAACAACGGCAATTAAGAGGTGGTTTCACGCTCCTTAAAACTTCCAAGCTCCTGATCAGAGGCCTTGCTCCCGGGTGTAGTCTATTGTCATACGCAGTACTCCAAGAAGACATGACCGACGATTGAGAAATTCATCAAGCACTGACATTTCACATGCATTTCAGATGCATATGAAGGCTGAGAACATTGAATAAGAACTTTTTTTATGGGTTTTCAAAAAAGGCGTTGGAAAAGGTTTCCCATCTGCTGGTTTGATGTTGCAACAAAAAGACATGATGGAATCCATTCTCGTGATGCGTAACATCGGGCTGGTTAAAGCGTTTCAAAATCATTATGGCACTATGAGATTTTACATTCTCGGAGAAAATTCCGTTGATGCACAGCATTGTGGAATTCAGCCAAGCTACAATCTATCGCACGTGAAAAAAATATGAGTTGAACAATTGTACAATACTGACGAAAGGGGGTTGTTTTCGTGTGTGATGCCGAAGAAAAGCAAGTATTGGAATATGGTAAACGTGATGATAATGTTAACCGTTTTCTTATAAGGAAACACTCGACATTCACTGACCGAGCATACAGTGCTACTGTCGGTTGCAATTTATAAAATATGAAAACAGTTTCTCGGGTCCACTCCTATTGCTCTTTCCAGTATTGAAGCCGGTTTCCTACCTAAACTTTTGTTTGACGTAGAGTAGAATGTCAACAACTTGATTATGTCATGATTTTCTCTTTCAGTTATATTTGCTATCCATTTTAGTTGTTGCTGCTGTTGAAAGTCATCAAGGTTTCTGTTAATCGGTACATTTTTGTTTGTGATTCTGTAGCTCTCGTCCAAAAGGTTCGAAAAATTGTCCTCGCTAATATATATAGGCTTCATTCGCTCGATGCCATTAATGATTGATCTGAGAATGCGGTTGTCTACAGCCGACATCTCAGATATCTGGAATTTGGTGTCATGCATGGCATCCGTATGAAAGTCTCGACCTGACCAGGCTATTTAAGAACATGACTTGAATCTTTTGACTAATGTTTTTGTTTTGCAGTAATTTATGTTTTCGGCTGAACTATGCATAGCACCGCTTATTTTATGTTCAAATTCATTATCTGAAATTTTATGATAGATTCAGGTTAGGTAGCCATCACTGCTTTTATTCCAATTCCAGGTCATAGTTTCTATTTTGGAAAGGTTTATCTTGAGTATCATTTCTTGGAACATTCGTTAGAGAATGTTGATTTTCTGTTGAAAAGCTTTGTTATCGCAACTATAAACAATTATGTCATCAGCATATCTGCCTACCTCATCACCAGTACATTGGCCTCGGGAGGAAAAGCAGAAACGTCGTTTTCTATTAGTACATTCGTTTGGAATGTGATATGGAATATAGAACAAGATGGTAACATTCCTTTCTTGCTTAGATGTACGCTTGGTCGGTCATGGCTATTTGCTAATTCAGGATTAACTTGACAGAAGAAATACCTCAATGGGCTGCCATTATTTTCTGCAGTAGACCGGGTTTGCCAACCAAGGCTATAGGACACAGTCAGTCAAGTTATTTAACCTATTGCTGGGAAATAAAATAAAATAATTTTTTTTCCTTGCGACAACGCCACCGATCTCATAAATTATTGCTTGTCTGAGACGGGAGTTATGCTAATCAATGTTGCTAACAAGCATCCGTGAAGTAAAAGTCACAAAACAAGGGATGGCTGTCATATCCTCTTCTTTCTTATCTTGCTTTCTATTGGTTGATTCGTTTTCTGTGGCATATGGTTTTCTTTGCGGGATGTTTAAAGCCAGAAAATATTTTGAGATTGTAAGATTCTTTTTGAGGAAATAATAGTTTAGTGATACAAATCTTACTACTTAACACATAGCTGATGGATTCATACCTTTCTCAAGGGTATTTCTGCGTAAGTGAATATAATGAACCTTCCTGAAATTGTAACTCGATCCTCTGATTAACAGTTTCGATCCATTATCATTACACCACCCGCACATCGAAGCTTACAACACCTGGTAGTCCCAAGTTGCCACCCATCAAGATACTGCTTAAATTCGATGATCGTACAGGAAGCGATGTTTCAACGCTATATGGCTGTAAGCCCCTGCTTTCTAGAAGAATTTATGTCAGCTGACGATTAAATAGCAAGTGTTTTATTCAAACAACGTCTCCTATTGCTTATTAACCTCGCAAGGTTACACAGTATAAACGACAACAAATTAGAAACACCAGACAGTCTATCAAGAGTTTGTTTTTTTTTTACACCATGTCAATGCTACAGCCGTTCGGACAGGAAATCGTAGCAACAATCAATCAAGAAAGGTTATCGTTGTAATCTGTAGTGTGTCATCATAAGCAAAGACAGTGTAGACAAAAGATAGTCGTACATTATCAAATCATTCACGATGAAGGACTTTTTTTAGTCATTTCTCACCAAAAAGCAACAGTTACAAAATTGCTAGTATAATGGCTTTTACCGTGTTGGTTTTATCAGAATGAATAAAGTCGTGCGGATCAGAGTATCGAATGAAACTGCAAAGAACTGGGATTGGGAGATTTTGTACAGGCTGATATCGACGTCTGTGTAAAGTCTGACAACGACATCGGAACTGAGACAATGATGTTTTGATTATCAATATAGTCACGGAAGAACAGCAGGAAAAGACACCATGGATGATAAGGAAAGTCAGATACCGACACCACCTGCAGTCGGCATTAATGAAACTATTGACCGTCTGTGACTTTTCATCGAATTGTATGAAAGACAAGACGAAGTCAACGTCGTTATTTTGATATATATATATTTGTCAAATGCTATCGTTGACAAAAACAAATAAAAGGCAAAAACTTGAAGCAAAACTTGGATATTTTCCTCACAAAACAATGATCGATCACCATTTCAATTTGCATGAACTTAGAATCGCCGACGATCTCTGTACACTTCCTGTACGCATGCGTAAATGTATTATTTTTTATGATCATGTCACGATTTCTTGTTTTTTTTTCTACATGATTTCACGATTTAAATGACAGATAACGTATTTTCATTGATAAATTGTCACGATTTTTTAAAGCAATATTTCATTTATCAATTGAATGAAAGCAAACGCTTTAAACCTGCTTTTTTTAAGTGTTCAGCATGACTCCTTTTTTTTTAATGATCGGATCACTTATCCAAAGAATCAATTATCCGAAGAATCAATTATCCGCACCAAATACTACCCGCCAGTCTTGTTTGGATAACCGACGTTCAACTGTAGCAAGAAATCTAGCACTGTAAGTTAGTTTGTTAAGAAGTTAATAGCTAGTTTTCATCCACGAATCTGCCTCTGGGAATAGTTTTAAATATCCTGATTATTAATAAGGCAGTTTCTAATGAAAGATTGAGAGTCTAAAAATATGAGAAATAAGACGAAAAACTAGAAAGAAAAAGAAGTCAAGAAAAACTAAGAAGAAAAGAGAAAAATGAAGAGAGAAAGAATAACTGATTAGGGATTGATTTATTTTTTACGGCTTATCAACACTTTGTAAAGCCGAAACATGTTTTTGATCGTCTGAATAATTATTTTTTTTGCGAATGACAATGAATATGGAATTGACAATTTTTTGAGAATAATAACGATTTATCCATATACGAATCTTACTATCTAACCGATACATTACCCAAGGGTTTTTGAGCGAAAGTGAATGCAACCAACCCGACTCGACACTGATTTCTAATCCCGTGTTGCTATCCACTGCATCATCCACACAGGTTCTACTATTTTATCCATAGCTGGTACGAAGTAAAGGATTCAAACCTTTCTTAAGGATATTGAATGTAATGAAGTCGACTTGAATTCAAACTCGGCTCTCTGAAAAGAGGAAATAACATAAACAAGGCAAGGGCGGAAGGGAAAGATAAGTAGGTGAGAAAGAAGATAAAACAAAGTAAGGAAAGTAAGAAGAGGGACAGTAGTGTGTCATCATAAGCAAAGACAGTGTAGACAAAAGATAGTCGTACATTATCAAGGGAGAAATTTAGGGAAGAATGAAAGGAGAAAGGAAGGAAAATCAATAAAGAATGAAAAAAAAAAACAAAAACAAAAAAAAAAAAAGAAGAAAAAAATTTAAAAAAAAAAAGGAAAATCTTTGGAAAAAAAATTAAAGAAGGAAGAAAGAAAAGGAAAAAGAAAGAAAGAAAAAAGAAGGAAGAAAAAAAATAGGAAGAAGAAGGAAGAAAAAGGGGGAAGAAAAGTAAGAAAAAAAGAAAAAAAGAAGGAAAAAAAAGGGAAAAAAAAAAAAAAAAAAGGAATGAGAAAGGGAAAAAAAAAAGAAGAAAAAAAGAAAAGAAAAAGAAGGAAAAGGAAGGAAAGAAAAAAGAAGAAAATTGAAAAAAAGAAGGAAGAAAGGAAGAAAAAGAAAAGAAGGAAGAGGAAAAAAGAAGGAAGAAAAGAAAAAAAAAAAAGAAAAAAAGAAAGAAAGAAGGAAGAAAAAGAAAAAAAAAGAAAAAGGAAAAAAGAAAATTTTAGAAAAGGAAAAAGAAAAGAAGAAGAAAAAAAAAAGGAAAAAAAAGAAAAAAAAAGAAAATTTTCTCTAGGAAAAAAAAAAAAAAAAAGGTAGAAAGGAAAGAAGGAAGAGGAAAAAGAAAAAAAAAAAGAAAAAAAAAAGAAGAAAAGAAGAAAAAAAGGAAGAAAAAGAAAAGAAAGGTAAAAAAAAAAAAAAAAAAGAAAAAAAATAAAAAAAAAAAGGAAGAAGGAAAAAAAAGCAAAGAAGGAAGAAAGAAAAAGAAAAGAAAAGAAAAAAGAAAAAAATTCAAGAAAAAGAAAAAAAAAAAGAAAAAAAAAAAAGAAAAAAAAGGAAGAAAAAGAAAAGAAAAGAAAAGAAGAAAGAAAAAAGGAAGAAAAAAAGGAAAAAAAAAGGAAAGAAAAAGAAAGAAAAAGGAAAGGAAGAAAAAGAAAAAGGGAAAAGAAGGTAAAAAGAAAAAAAAAAGGAAAAGAAAAGGAAAAAAGGAAGAAAAAGAGGGAAGAAGAAAGAAAAAAAAAAAAAAATGGAAAAGAGGAAAAAAAAAAAAGAAAAAGGAAAAGAAAAAAAGAAAGAGAAAAAAAGAAAAAGAAGTTTTTAAGAAAAAGAAAAGGGGAAAATAAAAAAAAAAGGAAGAAAAAGAAAAGAAGAAGGAAAAAAAAAAAAAAAAGAAAAACAAAGAAAGAAAAGAAGGAAAAAAAAAAGGAAGAAAAAAGGGAAGAAAGTAAAAAAAAAAGAAGGAAAGGGAAAAAAAAAAAGGAAAAAAAAAAGAAGAAGAAAGAAAGAAAAAAAAAGAAAAGGAAGAAAACAGGGAAGAAAAAAGAAAAGGAAAAAAGGGGAAGGAAAAGAAAAAAAAAAGGGAAGAAAAAAAAAAAAATGAAAAGGAAAGGAAAAAAAAAAAAAAAAAAAAAAAGAAGAAAAAAAAGAAGAAAAAAAAAAGAAAAAAGGAAAGGAGGTAAAAAAAAGGAAGAAAAAAGAAAGAAGAAAGAAAAAAAAAAAGGTAGAAAACAAAAGAAAAGAGGAAGAGGAAAAGAAAAAGGTAAAAAAGAAGGAAGGAAGCTTAAAAAAGAAAAGAAAAAAAGGAAGAAAGGAAGGAAAAGAAAAATCTTAGAAGGAGAAAAAAAGCAAAAGAAAGGAAGAAGAAAAGAAAAAAACAGGGAAGAAGGTAGAAAGCAAAGAAGGAAGAGGAAGGAAGAAAAAGAGGGAAGAAGGTAGAAAGCAAAGAAGGAAGAAAAGATAAAGAAAACAGAAAAAGAAGGTAATTAAAGCAAAGAAGGAAAAGGAAAGGAAAAAAAAACAAACGAAAAAGGTAGAAATGAAAGAAAAATTAGAAAAAGGAAGAAAAAAAATTTCCAAGGTAGGAAGTTGAAGAATTAAAGGAAGGAAAAGGAAGAAGGTAGAAAAAAAAAAGGAAGAAATTAAGAAAAAAAAAAAAAATAAAAAGAAAAGAAAGTTCTCCAAAGAAAAAAAAGAATTATTGCAAAGGAAATAAAGAAAGAAATCAAGAAAATCTAAGAGAAAAGAAATATATAAAAAATATCATTGTTATAAGAAATGGAAAAAAAGAAGGAAAATTAAATAAGTTTTAAATGAAAAAGGAAGGAAAAAAAAAAGAAAAAAATTCCATTTGAAGAAAGGAATTAAAAGAAAAGAATAGGAAAAAAAGAAGAAAGAAAAAGAAAGAAAGAAGGTAATAAAGCAAAGAAGGAAGAGGAAGAAAAAGGAAAATGGAAGAAAAAAAAATAATTTTAAAAAAAGAAAAAAGAAAAAGGAAAAAAAAATTTATTTATTTTTTTAAAAAGAGGAAGGAAAATATCAATTTCAGAAGGTAGTTCTATTTTTGAAAATATTTTTTCCAGGAAGAAAAGGAAGGAAGGAAATGTAAAGAAGGAAGAAGAAGGAAGAAAAAAAAAGAAGGTTAGAAAGCAAAATTAATTTGCTATTAGAAAAAGAGGGAAGAAGGTAGAAAGCAAAGAAGATTAAGAAGGAAAAAAAAAGAAAAAAATAAAGAAAAAAAGGAAGAAAAAAATATTTAAAGATGAAAAATGGAAAAATTTTCCAAAAAAAAAGAAGAAAGGGAAAGCAAAGAAGGAGAAAAAAAAAAGAAAAGAAAAAAAAAAAGAAAGAAAAAAAACTCAAAGACAAAAAAGAAAGAAAATAATAAATCAAAAAAAATTATAAAATTTTCTTTTTTAAAATAAAAAAGAAAAAAAAAAGGAAGGAAAGAAGGAAGGAAGGAAGGGAGAAGAAAAAAGAACAAATAAGAAAAGAAAAAAGAGAAATAAAAAGGCAAAATGTAGAAATTTAAAAAAACCAAAAATAGAGAAAGGGAAAAAAAGCATAAAAGCTCGAGAAGGAAGAATAAAGGGAGAAATAGAAGGAAATAAAGAAGAAAAGAATGAACTAAAAAAAACGAAAGAAAAAGAAGAAAGAAAGAAAAGAAAAGAAAAGTGAAGGAGAGAAAATGAAGAAAGAAAAAAAAGAAAGGATGGAAGAAATTTTTCAAAAAAAAAAATTTAAACAGAAAAAACAACGTAAGAAAATTTTTTGGGAAAATAAAATAAAGAAATGAAAGAAAAGAAAAAGAAAGAAAGGATAAATAAACGAAGGATGATAAAAAGAAAGAAAAATGGAGAGAACAAGAAAAGAAGAAAGAATGCAAAAAGAATAGATACGAAAGAAAAAAGAGCGTTAGAGAAAGAAAATAGAAAGAAACAGAAAATAAGAGAGAGAGAAGGAAGAAAATGCAAAAAGAAATAGAGAAACAAAAAAAAAACGTCAAAAAGACATAAAATCGGAAACTAATTAAAGGATGGCAAAAAAAAAGACAAAAAAGAAAAGAATTAACAAAGAAGAAAGAAAAGAAATATGGAAAATAAATAGATGAAGAAAAAGAAAAAGAAGAAATGAAAACGGAATAAAGAAACAATAAAACAATGAAAGAGACAAGAGTAACGTCTGTTGGTACAGCACCAGCTTAGTCTAAATGTGCGTGTTTGAATGACATCTATAAAGTATATAATTTGCCATTTAGTGTTTTTGTTAGCGTGAGAACTTGAAGTTGTCCCTTTCATAAATGATTAAGAGTCTTTTAGACCGCTTGATTTACCGCCGCCATTTATTTCTTAAACAGTGTCCAAGATGATAATTTGCCGGGTAGAAATACTGCCGTTAGAATTATTATGTCAACCATCATCACCATGAGAACGGCAAAGGAGGCGTGGCTCATCCGATAAACATTTGTATTTCATTCAGCGTGATTATTTTCCAAGATGGCTGTCGTAGTCGCCAGAGATTTTGCTACGATCGTTCAGTTTCCGTGAAGAAAAAAAAAATGAAAATAACTATAACGCCATAAAAGTGTAAGCAAAAAGACATGTAGACAAAATATATGTCACATTATCAAATCATTCACGATGAAGGACTCTTTATTTATGATCGCTGAGTCATAGGCCAACACCAAGCCAGCAACAGTTACAAGGTGCTAGTATAATGGCTTGCGTGTTGGTAGCCGTCAGAATGAATAGGGCGCATTATTTTTAAAAAAATGTACGATTTATTATTCTTGCTTTTGTTGATAACACTCGACGTCAGGAGATCACAACAGGAAGAAGGATCATCATTTAAACTTAGAGCTAAAGAGATCAATTAGAAAAGATCCAACTCAATTCATAAGATGTTTGGCAAAATGAAAACGCCATTTAGTTCAAAGAGCAGTGAAAATTAAATCGTAAGTTTTGAACAATGAAGGAGCTTGTTAGAAGAAAAGGACAGAAAGAAGGTTGGAAATCATCTTGAATAAGTTGAAAAATGATCCTAGAATATATATATATATATATATATATATATATATATATATATATATATATATATTGAACTTTATTTCAATCTTTCATGAGCATCCGATCCTTTGCTATGATTAATTTTCTGATGAACATGTCATTTTCGTTTATGATCGATTTCATCATGATATTCTGTTAAAGAAAGTATATATATATTCTTATTTCTCAAAGTAGAGCCCAATAAAATAATATAAAAACTCTCGGAGAATTCGAGTTTTTGTCAATCATTTCTAAGAATACAATAGTTCAAAGCTTAATCTAAATTTTTGAACAATTTTGCTGTTACATGATTTGGACAATTTTATTTGTTACCAAAGTATATATATATATATATATATATATATATATATATATATATATATATATATATATATATATTTACTGGAAATACTGAACAAAAATTTTTCGTTAGCTTAATACGCACCTAGTAGTTGATCTGAAAATGTTCACCATATAATATTCGATTTATACATTTAATATTTACCAGTAATTCAAATATATTGACAAATTATGCTTTTAACGCACTTGAATTTAGTTTTCATCAGAGAAAGTTTTCCCTACTAATATATTTTGCAACGATCAAAAAAGATAATACTCAATTAAAAAAAATTGTGAATATAAACAAATTGTAGAACTTTACCAACTGAGTTCAGATTTTTTTTAAAACAGATTAAGAAAAAAAATTAAAAAGTAATCAATTAAAATAAAAATGATCATTTTGAAAATATTACTTAAAACCATGAATAGAAGATTGGAGAGAGCATCAGAATAGCTTGAAACTGAGATTATAGATTTACATTGTTGGAAAAATAACTTTTGCGTAACCCGAGTGTCAAACATTATCAAAATGGAATGTGTCAAATACAAGGCAGCTGAAAAATATAATAATCACAATGTGCTAAAATAAATAATATATTCAACATTTATGAAATCCATATGTGCTGGAACAACTTGATTGGAAAATATTTAACAACAGAGAATTAGGTCACTTCCATTCATTCTAACTAAATCATGTTAAATTACGAGAGAACTCGAAGCGATTGAAAAGGCATCCCGTGTCTAAATTGGAATATTCAAATTTGTAACAATAGAAATTTTTGCGTCGCGAAAAACAACTGTAACGGTAATTGCGATAGTTGATTTTCCATATAAATCAGCTCTTATAGGCAGCAGAAAAATCATGCTGACCGCAAAGGGTCCAGTTGTTTAATTGCAGTCGCTCGATGCATCAGAGGTAGACGAGAAATGAAATAAAAAAATACAAGAGTATTAAGAGAATCCTAAACTAACAAAATCAGTAGCAAACTTGCTTATTGAATTGAAAAATCTAATATATATCCAATATTAAAGGGTAATGGTTGCGAGAACTCCTTTAAGAACATGCGTCCAGATTGTAAATGCTCCCCGATGTGGGGCGAAAGTTGGGACCACATAAGTAAAACACGGAACACGGATTAGATGTAAGAAAGATATATTAACAACAGGTTACAGAGATAGTGTAGCGGAGCTTACTATATGTTAGTGTCCAACACTGGTAGTCGTACGAGACTCTCACTGTCTCTCTCTCATTTCTGTCTTCTTCAGTGTAGAGTGTTGTGTCGCATACTTAATATAGACCTGGAAGAGTCTATTGTGTAGGTAGTTCCGGTCTCACAATACCCCCATTCCAAGAGTTTTCTTTTTGAAAAGGCGAGAAAAAATAAAAATGTTAATACTTTTTCCTCTTGGGATTTACGTCGAGCGGTTGAGTAAATTTCCTTTTCCTTCCTGAGCGTCGCACTTCAGGAGAGACTTGGGGCATGTCGAGATCGAACTAGATATCTTGATGCTTGAGCCACAGCTTTTCGCGAACCATCTGGCAGTTTATGTAACCTGCAAGCACCAATGCCGTACGAACTTGCATCACTTGCGACTATGATGTCGAGACTAGGGTCGTAATGGGCGAGGGAGAGGTCTGAAGTAAGAGTTTTCTTGATCTTCTCGAATGCGTCTTGGCATTCCGGGGTCCATGACCATGGTTTGTCCTTTTTTAAAAGTTGGTTGAGAGGCCCTCTCAAAATTTGAATGTTCTTAATGAACCTTTGGTAAAAGTTAGCTAGGCCGACGAAGCTTTGTAACGCTTGAACGTTATCTGGGGCTGGCGTGATCGCGTTGGCTCTTTCTGGATCCGGCCGACGACCGTCTTTATTTATAATGTACCCTAAGTATTTAATCTCTGATAAGAAAAAGTCACACCTATCCTCCTTAACCTTAAAACCGTATTC